ACGTTACAAACTTCATACTTATGTTGTCAGACTGTTATTCTGGTACCTTTTAGTAAGCATTATTTCACATAAGGTCTCTTTCCTTTAGTTTTGTTCCTTCTAAACAGGAGATACAGTTCTTTGATAACAGCAGGCCCAGTAATATCCTGAGTTAATGGTATAACATGGATATAAAAATAAAGAAAATGCTTCTTAATCACTTGGTATTTTATTTGTAACTTTGGAATAGTCTAAAATTTTAAATGGAAACTTCCATTTGCGATTACTTATGATTCGTAACCAAATAAAAATTATTTTGAACTGTGTTTATTCTCATTAGCCAAGCACTGAGGGCAGGGGAGACAACATGTACAGTGTTTTAATTTAGAATTAAGAATGCCGGTTTTATAATGTATAATAAATACATGAAAACTTTGACGAGAGATCTTCTGCTAATTTGCATATACTGATCAGTGTATTTACTGTCATATGTTTCTACTGTAACTGAATTGAGAACGGCTGAAGTTTGAGAAACCTTTGAATTTCATAAATTAATTTTAAAAAAGGTTAATTTTCTTTTCGTGTTTCATTTTCCCTAAAGATTGTTGTGTAATTTGTCAGTATTAGCCATTTTTTACTTTAAATAAAGTACTCCTGAAGATTGGAGTCTTCCAGTCTTGTAAATTTTTAGTCAGTAATACATGCAAAAGCTGTTTTAAAGCACCTACAGCACTGTACACCTTAAAATTACTGGTTCTAGAAATGGTGTACAGAACAAGAAAATCACTGGTTATTCAAAATTATATGGAGGGAATATTAGAAAAAAATGTTTTTACAAATTGTCCTCTGGAGGACTTTAATGTTAAGTGTTCTCAGTCCTTTTAAAGATTAATCTGGAGAAAGAAAGCACAGCTTAAATTCTGCTGTTTTGCTCTGCAGTTCACCTGGTTCGCATTGTATAAACAGCATCAAATTAGTTTGTCTCTTTTTTACTCTCAACTCAGGTTTCTTAGCTTCACCAGCCCATAGCTTAAGCCAGAAATTTTTATGTGTACCCTTGTATTACGGATGAGACATGTTTGAACAGATCATAAGGACCTTCTTCCTTACGGCTGCTTCGAAATAAACCTTATCTGTTAATTTCACTTCAAACAAAACATGTTTAATTTTTGTTAAATATTACATGTTTTTTCTTTTATCTATTTATGTGATTATCGATGTATATTCAGGGTATTGGAGCATTGGTAGATGTCTATGCACATACAAGGTTTTGCAGTGCTCCTGTCTTCTGGCCTTGTTTTTACGAGCTGGGGAGGTAGGCAAAATTGTCGTGTGTGCAATGCTCAGAATCTTCAGAGTCCCATTTTCTAAACAAATAAGGATCTGAAATTTAAAATACTTTGTTCCTTTACCATGTGAATAGCACTTACTTAATTTTTCAAAACTTTATGATTTGCTTTGAATTCAAAGATAGTTAAAGTGGTCATAGGGATTTTTCCAGATGGGGATACTGTTTTAAATGTATAAATACCTGTAAAAAAAGATCCTTAAAAGTACTTAGGCTTAAAATAACTTGTCCATTGAAAGTTATATTTGAAAATGGGTTTTATATTTGAAAATGGATTTGGGCACTGTTGCAAATGGTGTGCCTAGTCCAGCACCTTCAGCATAAAAGCATCCTTTCTCCATGCCAACCTTATGAATATATATTTATCCTGTGAGTTGCAGCCAGTTATTGGGAAAGTCATGCATCTGTTTTCATGAAGCTGCCTGTGTCTTGACTTAGTGTTGGAGCATGGGTCTCCTCTCACACTGAAGACACTTTCAACACTGAAACAGTCCTACCATTGTAGTTTGCTTCTGCCATCTTCTGCCGTATCAGTAGAACATGATGTAGAACTTCAAATAATAGTGAAATTCTTTATAAAATAAGGCATTGTGTGGAGTAAAAGGAAAGTGAAGAGGTCACTGAAAAAAAGCCATTCAGCTGTCTGATTAATTCCTCTTTTTCTTTGATTAATCAGAGTAAGTCACTACAATTTCTGCTTGAATTGACAGTCCTGTGTAAACCTCAACCATTATTAACTTTCCTTGTGTTCCATCGTTAGGAAGACTTTGTGTTCACTGAATTGCAGACTGGTTGAGGTTGGAAGGGCCCTCTGGAGGTCATCTAGTCCAAGCCTGCTGCAGGGACACCTAGAGCCAGTAATGTTTAAAATTAGTATTCTTCAGCCCCACTATTGCTATGGCCTCCTTGGTTAAGTCTTCTCTCCACTAACTTTCCTATAATACTCATCTGTCTGAAAAGGTCTTAACTTTTAAAGTGGTCTGAGTTGCAGTATTAGTTCCTATAATGTTCGGGGATCACTACATCTGGCCTTTCTGAACAGTAGTCATTTTCTGGTGTGTATTTCTAAAACATTTTTGTTTTTAATGGAAGACAAATTTTTACTGTTTTATGTTCTGTTCCCAGTTTGCATGTCACAGTATTATCAACACATTCAAAAGCAGAAGCGCTCACTTAAATCCAGATCCTGCAGATGTGTACAAATGCCAAATTTTATGCTGCAAAAATTAATCAGGAGGGCTGCTGAAGTATCTTATTGCTATGTGTACTTAAAAAATATGTGTACATCTTATTGATCTGTGTAGCAATAGAGCAAAAGAAGGAGAAAATACTCCTTCTTAGCAGGAGAGGAAAAAAAGTCTGCAGAACTAGATGTGCCTTCTCTGAAATCCTGTCAACAGACTTTGTAGATCATGGAACAGTTTCCAGAGCTGCAGATATGTTTGTATCTGTAATGAGCAAATAGCGATCTAAATTAAAGTTCTGAACTCCTTTAGAGATATGTTTAATCGTTATGTGACAAATCTTATAACATGCAAGTGACCAGGTTCTATGCCCATTCCCCGTGTATCAAGCTTTCTAATAAGTGGAACTTCTGTATTGTGGAAAACAGATCTGTGACTCAATCTGTGACTGATGACGAGTTACTTAAAATCATACGTAAATTAATGCCTTCCAATGGCATGTCTAAAAAACCAAAGTATTTGCCTTCCTCCAGACGGCATTTAGAATAAATGTTCTGCACACTCATTATCAAGGATTCTGTGTCACCCACGGGAAGACCCCCCCAAAAAAAAGACTCCAGATTCCCTAACCTGGTCCTGACTGAGAGAAATCTAAACTGACCTGGACTCCTTGCTAGGGAGCTGGGATATACTGGAAGGAGTGTGTACTAATGGGTGCATAAATGCTATCTTCCACATTGGTAATGAATTGTTAATAGCTGAGAAATTGCTTCCTTCTGGACTAAAAAAAAAAAAAAAGCTAGATGCCTTAGAAAAAATATTTGCTACGTCTGAACATAAAAGCTCATGAATGAATACATTTTTCCTAGATTGAAAATTTTTGAACTCATTAAACAAGAGAACAAATGAAATAGCTGAGTTGAGCAGCAAGGAATTGATAACTGCTGTTTCAGATAATGGCATGGACTTAGAGTGGCTCTGGAGATGTAGGGTGATGCTATATAGGTTAGTGGCTTCGCTAACTTTGTGGTAGCAGAGGTAAAAGGAAGGAGGTCAGGAATCGTCGCTATGCGTTCTAGTTCAGCGATACCTTTAAATATCATGTGGGAAGTAATCAAAGGAACACGTAAGATTTTTTTTCTGTGAGATTTGAGACACAGCTTGTTATGATGCATTGGTATAATCCGTGTTTATGAGTCACAGGCCCAGTCCATAGACTTATTTCAACATATGTCTAATTTTTAACATGTGGGCAGTTGCCATATGAAGACTCGCAGGCAATTTTATATGGGGTGTGAGATATATCCACATTCTTGCTTGGTATTGTTTGTGAAGAGCTGCAGCATTTTAGTCATGTTGAATGTGGATGAAAAATTTTAAAAGCAGGATCAGAGCTGACAGCGGCAGACTTAAAGAGCTACGTGAATATGCTTTTAGGACCAGCACCATAGTATGTAAAATATTTTGGGTATTCTTTCTGATGAGAAAAGATATGATGGTGTTAATTTGCGACGGCTGTTTTCTACATTTGACAATTAAATAACTTGGTTGGTTTCAGCTATGTTAACTTATATTCTGAAAAGCAGTAGTGTGTTTGAGAATAAAGAAGGGAAAACAGTAAAAATCTTTGTCCATGCCTGTTTGTAGTACTAAGTTTGTTTTTGCCTATAACACAGACTTGCATTCAAAGGCCAGTTTCATATTATCTGTAATATGTTCTTACAGTAGAAACTCGCTACAGGTCATTTCAGAAGGGAAAACTATAACTTATAAAATGTGATTAACCAGTTGTAAAGAAGAACAATAATCTCAACAGTGTTACACTATTTAGGGTAGATATAAAGTTACCAGTACTGCCAAATCATTTGTACTCTCTTGTGCTGCTAACTTTATTATCAGTCTGATCAATATTACACGGTTGGGACATTCTGCTATATACATGAAAACAATTATATTTTCCCAGCTATATTGTAATCAGATTATTTACTTTCAGAGGTCTGTAGGTTTACTGTGTATCTTTTGTTTCTGCCAAATTAATTTTTTTTTTTTTAACATGGAGTGGGAGGATTAGTAACGCGACTCATTTTGAAAGTATAAGCATTTACCTGAAACTATGTAGTGATTCTTTGTAAACAGAAATTGAACTTGCACTGAGTCTTTCATTTAGATACAACAAAAAATGGCATCAGCTGCTCAATGCAGTACTGCATGTTTGAAAACAGCTCATCAAAAGACCTTCTAATTAGGGTGCACAGTCATTTGCTTTTCTTCAATGCTATTAATAGTTAAGGTTTTAGAAGAAATACAAGGTCCCATGTTAGACCTTTTTAATGTTTAAGTTCTGAGACTGAAATTTTGCCTGGCTTCCAACCTTTGTTTGCTTTCTCTGATTAATAAAAGTTAGGTCTCCTGTAATGAATTTGGATGTATGCTATTTGGCATTTAAGTATAGCCTGCCTGGCACTGATGATTTATTTTACTTTTTAAAGGCCATGATTAAAAGTTTTATGGATGTCTACCAACTTGCAAGTTCCAGAATTGACATGTTAGTGAGAGAAACAGCATCTCATCAGCTTCACACTGTAGCCCTAAAGTCCAAGCTCCAAACCGCTTGTCTTCATGAAAGTGAGAACTTACAATTGGTAAGTCTGCTTTTCAAGTAATTTTTGTCATTTGGATGTGGTTTCCTATCCA